ACTGGCTGAGGGGAAATTCTTCAACTAGAAGGAAAGAGAACAGCATACAAGACTCAGAGGAGGCACAGTGCGGAAAATACAAAGGTGCGGAGGTACACGCAGAGCAGGCTGGTAGCTGAGGGCGTGGTTGTCATTTTCAATCAGGAGGGAGTCTCAGATTCTGAGCTCCAGTTCTGGGCGAGTCTCTAGGGACCCAGACTCAAACCGGAGAAGCGGGACTGTCTGGCATCGGTTGGAACGCGAGGGCAGCTTTCTCTCCGAGGTTTGCAGCGGTTGCTGGGACTCTGAGAGGCAGAGCCTCTGGGGACGGGACTGAGAGCAGCCATAACTGCTCCCTCCACCCGCTCTGTTGATCCCGTGCGACCTGACCCGCCCAAGCCCTGTGCAGAGCCATTTGCCAGATAGCCTCAGGCAAAGGCTAGATTAGCACCTCCCTAGAGGACAGAAGTTTTCCCACTGCAGACACAGCTGATTCTCACAGCCAGTTGGCCTGGAGGTCAAATCCCCCTAGTATTAACTACAACAATCAAGGCTTAACTACAACAAGACTGTGCACAAAGACCACTAGGGGGTGCACCAAGAAAGCATAAAAAATGCGGAGACAAAGAAACAGGACAAAATTGTCAATGGAGGATATTGAGTTCAGAACCACACTTTTAAGGTCTCTCAAGAACTGTCTAGAAGCCGCCGATAAACTTATTGAGATCTACAAGAAATCTAATGAGACCCTCGATGTTGTGATAAAGAACCAACTAGAAATTAAGCATACACGGACTGAAATAATGAATATTATACAGACTCCCAACAGTAGACCAGAGGAGCGCAAGAATCAAGGCAAAGATTTGAAATGCGAAGAAGCAAAAAACACCCAACCAGAAAAAAAAATGAAAAAAGAATCCGAAAATACGAAGATAGTGTAAGGAGCCTCTGGGACAGCTTCAAGAGTACCAACATCCGAATTATAGGGGTGCCAGAAGATGAGAGAGACCAAGATATTGAAAACCTATTTGAAGAAATCATGACAGAAAACTTCTCCTACCTGGTGAAAGAAACAGACTTACAAGTCCAGGAAGCGCAGAGAACCCCAAACAAAAGGAATCCAAAGAGGACCACACCAAGACACATCATCATTAAAATGCCAAGAGCAAAAGACAAAGAGAGAATCTTAAAAGCAGCAAGAGAAAGACAGTCAGTTACCTACAAGGGAGTACCCATACGACTGTCAGCTGATTTCTCAACAGAAACTTTGCAGGCCAGAAGGGAATGGCAAGAAATATTCAAAGTGATGAATGCCAAGAACCTACAACCAAGATTACTTTATCCAGCAAAGCTCTCATTCAGAATTGAAGGTCAGATAAAGAGCTTCACAGATAAGGAAAAGCTAAAGGAGTTCATCACCACCAAACCAGTATTATATGAAATGCTGAAAGGTATCCTTTAAGAAGAGGAAGAAGAAGAAAAAGGTAAAGATACTAATTATGAACAACAAATATGCATCTATCAACAAGTGAATCTAAGAATCAAGTGAATAAATAATCTGATGAACAGAATGAACTGTTGATTATAATAGAATCAGGGACATAGAAAGGGAATGGACTGACTATTCTTGGGGGGGAAAGGGGTTTGGGAGATGTGGGAAGAGACTGGACAAAAATCGTGCACCTATGGATGAGGACAGTGGGGGGAGGGGGTAAGGGCAGAGGGTGGGGTGGGAACTGGGTGGAGGGGAGCTATGGGGGGAAAAAAGAGGAACAAATGTAATAATCTGAACAATAAAGATTTAATAAAATTAAAAAAATAAAAATAAAAAAAGAAAAGAAATGTGATGCACAATGAGGCTAAGTGACCTCTGATTTCCTCTTCTGGTAAGGGGTAACACCAGGCTTTGCACCCAGGCAGTCTGGTGCACAGATCACCCTCTTAGCCACGACATCTCACTGCCTCTCTACATGCATGTCCTTGTGGAACTGAAATGAAGACGTGCTGCCTGACTGGGAACACACAGGCACCTTAGTTTGGGGGCTTCTGTTAATGGGTTTTGTACTCCCACAGTGCTGAGCAACCAGGAGGTGCTTCACAGCATGTATAGATTGATGACAATTTTTTCCAAATGTATGCAAATATCCCGCCTCCATTGAGCCTTAGTCACGGTGACACTTATGGGATGCCCAGGGGAATTTTTACTAAAAGACTCATGGGTGTAAACAGAAACCAGTTAATGTTGAGAGATTTTGTCATCATTGGCCATCAACTATTTTTTAATTATTTTTTTCCTGATTTCAAAAGTAATACACAGTCATGAGAAAAATTCAAACCTTGCTGAAATATATAAACTATTCAAACATTTAAGTTAATCATATATAACATTAGGACAGTATCTAAAATAAAATAATTGAGAGAGGGTCCCAGGATTTGACTTGCTTTGTAAGGGCTTAAATATAAAAAAAACTCTCCCTTTTTTAAGGGTTAGCTTGGGAGGCAGGGGTTCATAGAGTAATTTTTAAGTTGTCTATAAATGTCTCTTTAGAAGATAAGTCTATTGAGACATGTATAAGAAGATGAGATAAGTTCATTGCTTTTTTTTTTTTTTTTTTAGTTCATTGCTTTTTTAGGAGCTAACTGAACTTATATAAATGCTCAGATAGGTCCCTCAGAGCATTTTTAATGTTAGGCTAGAATGGGAACTACTTGGATCTAAAATATATGTGTAATCCCAACTATTTGCTTTTGAAAATTAAGAGTGAGGGTAGGCCTCTGTCTTCAGGATCTTATCTTTCGTCCATAGCCATGGTTGCTCCTCAAATCATGTGCCATGGAAGGATCCCACTAGCTCGAGAGCTTTCTGGTCCTGCTACAACTGACATGGCGAAGAGGGCACGGGGTGGCTCAGTGAAGACCTTGGGAAACTTTGGCTTTACTGCTTACTAAAGTGGGAGCTCCTTAAACTCAGAGTGTGTCATCATGCTCTTATTTGTCAGCAGGGGCAGTGCTACTGTTCCGTCTCTTTCTTAAGGCCATCAGGAAACTATATGAGGTCAAGAAGATGAAAAAGCTTTGTAAACTCTTCCTGCAGCATGTGCAGGTTAGAGGGCGAGGCGATTGTTCCTCACTGCTTGAGTATCTGCCTTTGGGAAGAATTAGTCTAAGGTGGAGAAAAGTGCACTCTGAAACCTAAAATCTTAAAAAAGGAAGTTAATGGCTCAAACAAATGTCAGATTTATTTATAAGTGGTAATTAATGGAAAATGAACTTGATGTACTGAGCAGTCAGAGGAACATTTGGGTTTCAAATCCTCTCTACTCATCATCTCTCCTTGAAAGGAAAAAATGGAAGAAAAGAAAAGAAGGAAGAGGGGAAGGAAGGAGAGAGGGGAGGAAGGAGAGAATAAGAAAAGAGCAGAAATAAATAGCTCGAGGCCAAAGGCACCAGAGAGAACATATTTGTTTGTCCAATTCCTCTTGTTAGACTGAGATCCTCCAGGTTGGAACTGGATCTTATTCATCTTTGTGTGGCACATCCTAGAGACTATTTAGGATGAATCATATGGCATTGCCATTTTTATAGACAAAAACAGTCTAATATTGGCAGTGCCATATGAGTCAACCCCCAATGTTAGATAAAGATACAAGAGATCTAAGGGTTATATTCACTCAGCCAGTTTTAACCTGTTCCCATAAATGACTCTTTCCCATATCTAGGACCTGGCCAGAGAGGTGGGATTTCCCTTGAACTGTCTGTTTGACCCTTAAGATTCATGCCTCTCTTTTAAGGCTGCCTTTGGTGTTCTCTTGAACTTAACAATGTCTAAATATTAAGTACATGCTGTACTAATGTCCCTTTCTTATGGTCTTCATACCTCTACAGAAGAGGCATCATTATGAGCCAAATTTAAATTTCCATTTCAGTTGATAGATATAATAGGCTCTAGTCAAACAAATAGATGTTCTTCACTATGGTGTGTACAGATTTTTCTTTCCTCCCTCTTATTCCCTCCCTTCTTTATCCTCCCCCTCCTCTCCCTCTTTTTCTTCCTTCCCTCCCTTCCTTCTTTATTCCCAGCTCTGCTCTAGGCCCAGGTGCAGCAGGGAACAAAGCAGACACAATGCCTGCCCTTTGAGCTTACATCCTAGTGTGTCCACTAGGATATAAAGCATAATGGCCATTATAATAGTAGTCACTTATAAATGTTAATGTCTTTTCTTCCCATGCCCTTCTAGTTTTCTGAAGATTACATCTGTGTGTATGTGAGTGTGTGTGTGTGTGTGTGGGGGGGGAGGCAGGGAGGCCAGCAGAAACAAGTTATTTGGTTCATGTTGGTCAGGATTTCTCCATCTCAGCTCAGCACAATGCCATTTTAGGCTGTAGAATCTTTTGTTGTGGGGACTGTTCTGTGCACTGTAGGATATTTAGAAGTATCGCCGCCTCCATCTACTAGATGCAGTTATACCCTCCAGGCTTGACAACCAAACATGTCCAAACATGTCTCTAGATATTGCTGAATGTTCCCTAGGAAGCAAAATCACCTCCTGTTAAAAACAACAGCCTCTAATCACCCATTGAATAATTAAATATTTCAATTTATAAACATGTTGTCAGGTACTGTGTACACTTTGCCTGTGGTTATAATATATGTTTAAATATATATAAAGTCAGGGCATATACAGAAAAAGAAATCAGCAAAATATCAAATTAAGCTATACAATCAACCCATAATTATCCATGAAGTGAATAATGATTTAGATAATAAGAAAGTTATTTCAGTCACACAATTGCCCTGCATTAGATTGTTTTCCTAAATATGGTTGGTTTAGACTCATCATATTAATAGCAGTCAATTTCCTGGACACACACTGGCTAATACAAGTGTGCATGAAGAGATACAAATGTGCATGGCAAGAAATTGTTTGGTTTTCTTAAATGTTCGTGGATACCCACAAAGTGCTCACTTTAACCACAGGTTATTAGCAAACTTAAGAAGTAATAGCAACTTTCATACTTACAGGTGAATTAATGACTTTAGTCCCCGGAAAGTATGTCTTGAAATGGACTTGATGTTGTTGTTTTCTATGAATCTGCAATAGGTTATAACATTTTTGTCAGACAGCTGTAAAAATCTGAGAGCACTTGTCCTGAATCATTATGTTAAAAAATGTTTTTGTTGTTTTTACTTACAAATACTCTAAATGTGGAAGACCAATAAAAGCATCATCACTGATCACATCAAAGGAGTTCGATGTGAATAACCTGCCCAGAAAAAGTACACAATGAAAATGGTTAAACTGACAGATTGTCAATTTATGCTGCTTTATCTCTCAAAGAAACGAGTGGGAGTTGTGTACAGAAAAATGTCTTATGTCTGCCTTCTAAAGTGTTATTTATTTAGGTATTTTTTGTAGCTTTTTAAAAAATCCCCAGTTATCTCCTCACCAAATGCTCATCCAGGAAGGCGGGCTTTGTGGCCCAGTCCTCACAGCGATGGATGTCACATGCACTCGGTAACTTTTTGAGATACAATTTGGGCACTATGACAGCCAAATCAACATTTTATGCATTTTCATAAATAAAAACACTAGGAATTTTTTCTTTGCCCTAAAAACTTCTGAACATTCTGACCAGCCCAAACAATGGTGCTTCTGGGTTTTAAGCTGCTATGATATCTCTTAGATGAGCCATTGACACTGGATCAATGAACATCAACTAACCTCCTTCTATGAAAATAGAACAGGAATTTCAGAGGGAAGGTGGGGGTGGGGGTGGGAGATTAACTGGGGAATGTATATGCATATATGCATAGCCCATGGACACAGACAATAGTGTGGTGAAGGCTTAGGAAAAGTGGATGCAGGGGGGAGGGGATCAATGGGGAAAAAGAAACAAAAAAAAAAAACCCCAAAGGGGACATCTGTAATACTTTCAACATAAAGATAAATTTAAAAAATTAATAAATAAACTTAAAAAATAGAACAGGCTGAAGGTGTGAAATAATGAGGTGTAGGAAGAGTCTTAGATCCAGTTTATTACTAAATAGCTGAAAAGAACTAACTTGAACAAATTTATTTGCAATTTCAAAATCCACAAGGATTTGGTTTCAAAATTACCAATGAAAGGGAACATGAACCAGCAGTCCTCACACCCTGCTGAACTCTTTGGAAAACTTGCCGATTTTCTGAATGGGAGGCTTAAAAGAGGTGATCATAGGCTAAACAACACGAAGCAGGTTTTTGATTTTTAGAGTGAGCATTAATTTCTGGAAATCATTAGATAAAGTATTGATACAAATGAAAAATAAGTTTTTAAATGTACTGATGACAAATTTATAACGGGTTGAAATGACATTCAGTCTACATGTGAAGTTTCTTGTGCAGGGGAATCTCATATTCCACCTGTAACTATTGTCCAAAATGTGACCATGATCTTGGACAGACCAGATGTTAGACATGATTTCACAATTCACATCTCATATATACTGTTTAATTGTACTATTAAAAGTTCAATATTCTCTGTTATTATATTTTTGACCTTTACTTTTGTAGTCTAGCGATTAAAAATAACACACACTAGCTAGTTTAGTGACTTCATCTCTCTGAGCCTGTTAACTAATGAGAGTAAAAGGAGGAGACCTCACTTTCTGAACATTTATGAATAGCTTATTTGATATCTGGAATTGCTTCAAAATAATCAGGGGAGGAGACAGCAGTGGCTTAGAGGTGAATTGAGCATGAGGTGATAATTTTGAAGCTGAAAAATGGGTACACGGAAGTGAACTTTACTGTCTCTACTTTTTATATGCTTATATGCTTGAAATTTTTCATAAAAATGGGGGGAAACATGAACCAAGCAAACGAAACTAGATGATCTCTTGCACTTCTTCCTAAATTATCAATCCTGGAGTGATGTTGTATTCTCTTTTACTTTCCTCCCTCCAGTGTCATAGCTTTATACTCAAGTAATTCACCACTGAAAAGTCAACACTGATGAATAGTCATACATTAGATGCCTTTAGTTATTAAAACAAATTCAAGTGTGTATGATTTTAGTCACAACTTTGGCAATTGCCTCCTCTTACTTCATGGTTCTGTAAAACAAGAAGATTACGTGCCCTTACTCCAAGATAAGCTAACATCCAAAGACTTCCTGAGGCTCCAGATTTTCATTTCTTTCTGTACAGACAGCATCAGGGATGGAGAGAATGGAATAAGGCAGAATTAGATACAGAGAAATACTTCCCATGCTCACTGGTTTGCCAACTGTCCCGTGGGTGGACCAGCAACTTCATAATCATGCACTTCAAGTCACCAGAAGAAATAGCTTCTCTCACTAGTTCCCCTTATGTTGAATCAGATGTAAAACAGAGTGGGAAATGTATATTAGTGGGCAGAACCTGCCCACACATGTCAGGGAAATAAAACAGGTATTTCCACTAGAATTTGTATCTGTTTGTTCATTGCTTATCCCTAGCATCTATAATACTACATGTGCCATAATGGACACTGAATAAATATTTGTTGAACAAAGAGGAATTCACTCTACATTAAATTCTGGGCATTACCACATTACTAGGTTGAATTTTCCTTAGAGCAAGGACTTATCTTATTTGCTTTTGTGTCCCCAGCCCTGAGCACAGTTTCTGGCTGAATAATGTTTGTTGAACTAGATTTCAAGGATTAAACCTCTGGTTAAAACTTAAACTACATACAAAAATATGAATGACTTCTACAAATTTAAGTCCAGGGAAAGAAAACACAGCACAATAAAGTATCTCCAATAGTATAGAACCTATAAGATAATCCTATCTAATAAAAGAGAAACATGGTAATTGGCGTACGACCGCTACCCTTCCCATTGGCTAATCAGGGTGATATGCAAATTAACTGCCAGCCAAGATGGCGGCCGGCAGCCAGGCAGCTTGAAACTAACATGAGGCTTGCTTGCTTCAGTGACGGAGGACTGCAACGTTCCCCGCCTGCCGCTGCAGGCCTCTGAGCTGCAACTCTAAGCAACTATGTAACAAATATAGAAGCTAAACAAAACCCCAGAAACCTGTTTTAGTCCGCAGGGCTTCAGCCAGCAGGATCGCAACATTGTAAGCAAAGGCCAGAATCCGCCGGGCTTCAGCCAGCAGGATCGCAACATTGTAAGCAAAGGCCAGAGACCTACTTTCAGCAGCAGAGGCCTAAGAGCTGGAGCCAAGCCTCAAAGCTAAAGCTGGCCCAGAATTAAAAAAAAGAAAAGAAAAAAAGGAGCGGTTGGGAGCTTCAGTCACCCCCAGCCTGAAAACAGCCCTCAGCCCCTCACCCAGACTGGCCAGGCACCCCAGTGGGGACCCCCACCCTGAAGGGTGTGTGACCAGCTGCAAACAGCCATCATCCCCTCACCCAGGCTGGCCAGGCACCCCAGTGGGGACCCCCACCCTGATCCAGGACACCCTTCAGGGCAAACCAGCTGGCCTCCACCCGTGCACCAGGCCTCTACCCTATATAGTAAAAGGGTAATATGCCTCCCAGCACTGGGATCAGCAGAGCTGCGAGGCCTCCCGGCACCAGGATCAGCGTGACAGGGGAAGGCGCCCCAACCCCCTGATCAGCCCTGCTCTGTGCCTGATAGGGGGGAGCTCCCCAACCCCCTGATCACTCTGCGGCTCTGTGTGTGACAGGGGGCGACACCCCAACCCCCCCACCCCCCACGGGCCTGCTCTGTGTGTGACGGGGTAGAGCCATAACCTCCCCATCGGCCCTGCCCTGAGTGTGAGAGTGGCGGCGTCCCAACCCCCTGATTGGCCCTGCTCTGTGCGTGACAGGGGGTGGCGCCACAACCTCCCCATCGACCCTGCCTTGAGTGTGACAGGGGACGGTGCCCCAACCCCCAATCGGCCCTACCCTGAGCGTGACTGAGGGTGGCATCACAACCTCCCAATCACCCTGCTCTGTGCATGACAGGGGGCGGCGCCCCAACTCCCCAATTGGCCCTGCTCTGAGCCCGACCAGGGGCTGCACCTAGGGATTGGGCCTGCCCTCTGCCACCCGGGAGCAGGCCTAAGCCAGCAGGGCGTCATCTCCCGAGGGGTCCCAGACTGCAAGAGGGCACAGGCCGGGCTGAGGGGCCTCCCTCCCCCCGAGTGCACAAATTTTTGTGCACTGGGCCTCTAGTATTTATATAAGCAACAAAACCCAGCAAAACTGATTTATGCTGGCAGAAGTTAGGATAGTGGTTACCCTAGGAGGCAAGTAGTAACTAGAAGGAGACACTAAGGGAGTCTTTGGCAATAGTTGTAATGTTTGGTTTCTGGGTGCTGGTTATAAGAATGTTCACTTTATTGAAAAATCATGGCAGGGGATGAGTTAAATAGGCAGAGCACAGAGGATTTTAGGGCAGTAAAAACACTCTGTATGACACCATAATGATGAATACATGTCATTATACATTTGTCCAAACCCATAGAATGTACAACACCACGAGTGAACCACAATATAGACTATGGACTCTGGACGATAATGTAGGTCCACCAGTGGTAACAAATCTATCACTCTGCTGGGGGAAGTTGGTAATGGATGAGGCTATGCATGGGTCAGGGTAGGGGGTATATAGGAAATCTCTAAGCCTTCTCAATTTTTCTGTGAACCTAGCACTGCTCTAAAAATATGAAGTTTTAATTTTTAAAAGTTGATATGTATACTTAGGGTATATGCACTTTTCTTTATTTTTAATTTTTTTAAATTGATTTCAGAGAGGAAGGGAGAGGGAGAGAGAGATAGAAACATTAATGATGAGAGAGAATCATTGATTGGCTGCCTCCTGCACACCCGGCACTGGGGATCGAGTCTGTAACCCTGGCATCTAGCCTGACTGGGAATCGAACCATGACCTCCTGGCTCTTAGGTTGACACTCAACCACTGAGCCACACAGACCAGGCCTGCACTTTTATGTATATGATATTTCGATAAAAAGTTTTCTTATAAAAGTGAAAAATTTTCCCTTTGTCTGAGATAATAATGAATATCAGTCCTTCAATTCTAAATTCAGTTGTGGTTTTCTGTGGACAAGGATTCCATGGATAAGGATGTGTAAAATTATACATGCATTCTAAATCAGTTGAGTGGGCTATCCATTTTATTATCCCCTGTAAAGCTAAAAAGACTCAACAAGCGCATGTCCTATAAAGTGGACGAAACTCTGATCCTTAATATATTTTATGGATTCTTCTGAATATGTTTGATTTCAATATTATGACTTGTTTTTGTATCAG